TGACATATAGCATTGTGTAAATTTAAGGTCATGATTTGATATACACATATATTGTGAAATGTTTACCACAATAAAGTTGGTGAACACATCACTTACCTCACATAATTACCATTCTATTGTTGTTGTTATAGTGAGAACATTAAAGCTCTACTCTCAAAGCAACTTTCAAATATACAATGCAGTACTGTTAACTACAGTCCCCACGCTGTACCTTAGAGCCGCAGAAACTATTCATCTTTATAATTATTATTTTTATAAGTGAAATTTCCATTTATTTTGAAGTAAACTAGCATGCGTGGGGAATTTCAAAATAGAAAATTAAAATGAAAAACAATAATATTCAAGAGTATCAGCTATAATAATTCTTTACATGTGTACGTTGCTTCGAACATTTACGAAGTCCTTACCCATTTATTAAGCATCATCTGGCCAATAAGATGCATAAACATAGGCAAGTTATTGCTGATCATGAAACTGTGACTTACCTATACTTATGCCCATATTGCTTTTTTCAAAACCCTCAGAAGGGAGTGTATTTTCAAGGTAGCCAAACTGGGGTGGAGAAACCAAAACAAACTCCAAGTCATCTGCTGCAGTGTCAGGGTCAGTGGCTGACAAATGGTTAACGGTAAGGGCTGCTGAGAAACCCTCGTCTACCACCAACATGGTACCTGCATACAAAGAATAACACAATTATGATTTAGCATGAAATCCTTTAATCAGAATAGTGAGGATAAAGGGAGTGATTGAAATTCCGATTCAGAGAAGCCTCCCATATACAAATACACTTCCATGAGAGATGCTCATTTCCTTTGGCATAATTCTCCTTACAGAGAGAATATTCAGGGGTAATGGGTGGAATTTAATTTGACTTATGGAATTATTTTTTTTTCTTGTATAAGCAAGCCAGACAATAATGGAAAAATGGCAGAAATATTAAATGCTCCAGTACAGCCCTTTAGTCATTCTCAAGGAACTCTGATTTCCCTTGTGTCTCTACAGAAGTGACAAATGAAAATAAGAATTGCCAAATTGTTTTAATGATAAGCCACTAAATGTAGTTTATGTACTCTGCAAGATCAGTTGTTACCTCTGTTTGTCAGAGTGTTAATTGCCTGCAAGCTATTATGAATCGTTCATAACAGACTTTTTTTTTTTATGCCTTGGTGCTTAATTATCCTGCAGGGATAATGCTTCCTTTCCAGAACATTGCTTGGGAGATAGTTTGAAAATTTCAATAACGTTCATACATATGTTTGTATTTTTTTTTTCTGAGAGACAGAACATATACATAATGCCTATGAAGAGATGACTTTCTAAAAAGCAAATAAGGCTAAATGTATATAAATGGTCTCTCTGGTATACTCATTCTGTTCTAATAGAAATTATTATGGATAAAATAAATTATTCTCTCTCCAGCAGGCAAATGATATTTT